ATTAGGGGAGAAGGACCTTTGTACTCTGGCTTTAAAGCATGCTTACTCTATTTGCTAGTGAGGCTTGATAGAACCTGTGGTGCTTATAGATGCATGGTGACAGTAGCCACAGTATAACTCCAAATGCAGATGGCTTTGTAAGCAGGTTAAATTATACAGGAGCTACTATATACAGCTATCTGCAAATATATATACCAACTTCCTGGTAAGTCCTTTTGAAAGCCTACATTTCAGTCACCACTATGCTGTGTTAGAATGATTAAAACTGTAGCTTTGGCATGTCTGATTTTTTAGAAAATTGTGTAAAGTAGGGCAAGTGAGGTTTGTAAAAGCTTACGTCTGAACAGAAACATGATGTTAAGACAAAGAACTTCACAAGTGCAAAGTTTTTACTTTGAGGCTGCTATTTTAAAACAAACATTCGAATTAGAATCCAAAGCAAAACAGCATAATGAGCAATCTAATTATGATGTTCTAAGGAACAGACTCATTATAGAATGGTATGTGCAAGTGTCATCATGGAGAGTCACAAATCCAGCATCTTATTTCAAGGCTCCCAATGAGTGGATCTCTGGAAGAGGATGCCCTGTGTTTCCAAATGTTCTCCTAAGGGGGCAGGAAACAGGTGGCCAGAGGAGTGTGATTTCCAGCCAGCAGCCCTGCTGTTTCACAAACAGGCTAATAACCAGAGGAAGTTGATCAAAGGAAGTCAGAGATTGGAGGAGTTTGGGGTCTCGGCAGGCATGTTTTGGCGGCCCTGAAGTACTGTGTCCCCCAGGTTGGGACACAAGGAAGCCCAGGCAGAAGAGAGGTCATCATCAAGGAGGGGAGGTTTAGGGGTCCATTCACGTCCTGTGCAGAGTGTAAGCCTATCTGGGAAAATGGCAGGTCCAGAACTGGGCCGGCCTCTCCCCTGCCAGCAGCCCCTGGCTCTTGGAAGTCCCCTTCCAAGAGTGTCATTTCAGCTCCAGATAGGAGGAATAACTCCTACACATGCTGGCAGCTTCCAAACATCAGTTGTCTGGGTTTTTCTGCCCCAGCACTTCTCCCCAAGTCTTCAGTTTGTTCCTACCCAGGATGTCTGGGAAGATAATCCCAAAGGGCAACCCTCCACACTGGAGATTGGTGTCCCTGCCTCCCCTCCTTCTTGGCCCCATCCTAAGGCCCAATTGCCTACAGTGGGAATCTGAACACCTTTGCCGGTCTCCTCTCTCATTACCCAGTTCATCCTCTGGGAATGGCTCCCAGGCAAGCTACCTGCATGGAGAGTCTCTTCTCAGCTTTTGCTTTCAGGTAACACAGAGACAGTTACCAAGGGGTGCTTGGTATAGATTCCTTGTGGTAGAGGGGGAACAGGGGTAGGGAGCTGTTTCTTTGCAGCCTCCAGGGTTTACTGAACAGGATCAAGGAGGCATCTCAAGCCCTGAACCCCCTCATTCCTGTGCAGAACTCTCTCCAAGAGGAAAGTTTATACTAGTGTTCGCTTCACTCAGGGATAGCAAGTTTGGGGGATAATTCTGTAATATCTCTTGAATGATCTACTAAATAAGAGATTAGAGAATTTATTCCAGAGTGTAGTATGATCTATGAGTAACTATTTGCTGTTTTAAGGAAGAAATTCTTTTCTTATAGCTGTTTTCCTCCTTACACCTTTTACTCCCCTTTCCAAAACAATTTTAAAGAAATTAATTCGGGGGCGCCTGGGTCGCTGAGTCGGTTACACATCCAACTCTTGATTTTGGCTCAGGTCGTGGTCTCAGGGTCCTGAGATGGAGCCTCGTGTCAGGCGGGCATGGAGCCTGCTTCAGATTCTCCCTCTCCCCACCTCCGTCTCTCAAAAAAAAATTTTTCTGAAAGTCTGAAACGGGTGTTACTACCAACAATGATTTATATGGCATTTTTAAGATTTCAGTTTCCAAAGTTCATTTGTTTCTGAAGTTCATTACATAGACATGCAAAATAACTGCTTTTTGTGACCATGCTCAGTTCACTTATTCCAGTAATTTGGTAGATGGTGTGAGGTTTTGTGCATACACGGTTATGTTATCTGTGAATCTGTGTATGTAATTAGAGCTTAGAGATACTATTCTAATCTCTCAGTGAAGTAAATTTAGAGTTCTTTTGCTACATGATCACAGACTGAGAACCTCTAATGCCGAGGATCTTTTTTTTTTTTAAAGATTTTATTTATTGATTTGACAGAGAGAGATCACAAGTAGAGAGGCAGGCAGAGAGAGAGAGAGAGAGAGAGAGAGAGAGGGAAGCAGGCTCCCTGCTGAGCAGAGAGCCCGATGTGGGACTCGATCCCAGGACCCTGAGATCATGACCTGAGCCAAAGGCAGCGGCTTAACCCACTGAGCCACCCAGGTGCCCCTAATGCTGAGGATCTTAAACCTCTGAGGCATCTCTCTCCTGGATGAACAGTTCCCATTGCTAGAAATCTTTTTTTTTTTTTTTAATGTTCAGTCAGCCAGCATATAATACACCATTAGTTTTTAATGTAGTGTTACAATGTTTCATTAGTTGTGTGTAACACCCAGTGCTCACCACCACACGAGCCCTCCTAAATACCCATCACCTGGTTACCCCATCCCCCCACCGCCCTCCCCTCTGAAAGCCTCAGTTTGGTTCCTGGAGCCCAGAGTCTTTCATGGTTTGTCTCCCTCTCTGATTTCTATGCCTTCAGATTTCCCTCCCTTCCTCTGTGGTCCTCCATGCTATTCCTTCTGTTCCACATATGAGTGAAACCATCTGATAATTGTTTCTCTGCTTGACTCATTTCACTCAGCAGAATCCCCTCCAGTTCCATCCATGTCGATGCAAATGGTAGGTTTGATGGCTGAGTAATATTTCATTATATATATAGACCACATCTTCTGTATCCATTTGTCTGATGAAGGGCATCTTGGCTTCTTCCACAGTTTGGCTATTGTGGACCCATTGCTAGAAATCTTGTTCATGTTTTGGGCTTAGCTGGTTTCTGTTTCTCTGACAGCCATTCTAAAACTGGGAGATAGCTACACATCCCTCGGGCGCCTCGGCTCAAGTGAAGCCGTTCTCAGTGGCTCCTCCCACGATGAGACCTGTGGACAACCCCTGAACATTTCTATGTAGAACCTGGGCTTGAGGAAAGGTTAGCTAAGAAACCCTAAGAATAGTGTTTCTTTGGGACTGGATTTTAAAACACATGTAGTTTCCCCCCACCCTCACATATGTGCTTTGTTTTTTAAAGATTGCAAAAAAGAAAAACAGGAGACACATGTATATCACTGATTATTTTTAATGATTTTGTGCTATGGTTTGACCACAGCATTAAGAACAAGCAGAAAAAGCTGATTTCATAACTAACAAACAGCACTTAGAGCAACATCTTTCTTTAAAAGTATTGCAATTACAGACCTTAGGTCTAAGAACTACATCACCATTGCTCAGTTAAAAGAGGCAGATACACGACAGTTGGAAATATTTCTCTGTATATAGCTGGGAATTATGTTGAAAGTAAGCACAAACGGCTGTTACAGACTTTAATAACTTCTGGTTATCAGAGCTCACATGAGCTACTGAAAAGCTCGCATACAGTTGTACCTTTTTAGTTGGCTGCTTTATAATAAAAATTAAATGAACTAAATGCTATGAATAGTGTTGTACACATTTAAAAATAGCTTTCCAGTAGACAAAGACAATTAGAAAATGTGATTTTTAAAAGCCAGGAAATGAAAAACAGCAATATACCAACAAGCACATTAAGGTGAACCAGTATCATTAACAGCAAAGTTTAAGCCTCAATTCTGTAGAAAGGAAGCAATGGTGTGGGAACACACTTTAGTACCTCTGAGTCTAGAACATTCTCTGATGACACTCATCCTCAAACAGTTCTCCCAAGAGATGAAACCTGGCAGGGTGGGAGTGTTGCTCCTGACAGCAGAGAGCCTTGGCTCCTAATGCCAAACCAGAACCACAAGGAGCCCCCACAGTTCATGAGGGGAGCCGAGGGTGGGGGCTGGATGGGACACAGCCTCTCCCCACCAAGATAACTATCTTGTCACGCCTTTTCAGAACAGTGAGAAGAAGGGGTGACTTTTCATCCTTCAGCATTAAGAGTTGCATTGTAGAGGTGTTTTCAATGTAAGGATAATCTGTAATTGTCTGCTTTCTGGAGGATAAGGGCATGATTCTTTTGTGATTTTCAAAATCAGAACATAACACCACAGAGCAAATAAAAAACATGATTTTACTAGAATTAATATCCTCTGATGACACAATAGAGTGGAAATATGGATCCGATGGGCAAAATTTCACTGACTGCCTTTATGGACAACACTGGAAAGAATGAACATGCCCACGATTCAACTGTGGTTTTGGTGAAGACATGATAGGCTTTTTCCTTTTTTAGTATTAGAATATTTTAAGATAAAGGCAGAGGTCACAAAGGACACTGAGCTGGAAGGATAGCTGTGTAAGAGGTGCGAAAGAACAGGCGACGAAAAATGTAATCCCTAACGGCTGGCAAATCCTAGCTTATCAAGATCACCCCGAGACACCAACAGGAATGGACAAAAGATTCTTCACTTGACTGACTGATAGCTAGTTCTCTGTGAATGATAACCCAAAACAGAAGTTTTGCTAAGAGTGGGGTCTCTCCTAAGTGGATTTGTTTTTCCTGAGATACTCTTGCCCTACACACGCGTACCTTCATTGGCTCCACAACTTCATTTTGTCAAAGGAAAAGGCACAGAGAGACTAGGGACATGGATGGCTCCGAATGCCTCCGTACTGACCAAAGTCCTCTGCTGCTGGCCAATTTCCTGAACTTGGGCATCATTTCTGTAATTTTAACAAAGTACGCACTTTTCACTGGGGCCTGACCTCTCCGGTCTTCTACAACGTGAGATATCTTCTCATAAAGCAAACTCAAGACACTTTCTTTTTTTTTCTGACTCTAACACTGGTCCAACTGAGCCTTACTAAAGAGATGAAAATGAGAAGCATCTAGTGGCAACCAAAAAGCTGTGGGATTCTTTTAAAATTATTTTTTCAAGGGTTTTCACAGCAAAGATGCAACTCTCACTTGCTATACATATGCTGGTCATAAACAGTGGCTTGTTTGTTCAGACTTCTTTCCCTTGTGTTATAATATTGATATTTAATAGGAAAATAAACTACATAGACTTTTATCTGTATGCATCCATTTGCAAATTTCCTTACAAAAGAGGACAAAGCACATAGGCATTCACAAATTCTATGCCATTTCTGTTAAAATCAGTATCTATACATTATATTACAGTATTAACAATTTTTTGTTCTACCCATTGGGTAGGATATGTGCATAATATATTCAAGTTATATACAGCACCTTACAAATAAAAAGAGAAGACGGACAACTGAAAAAGCACCATTGTAAGTGAGGCACAACAAAGGTGGGAGCAGAGTGCGGCGGTGGGGGGCTCGGTTCCTGGGTCTGCTGAAGTCAGCAAGAGACCCCGTGGGGGCTTCAAAGCCACCGGCATGCAGAGCTCTTTGGAACGCCAAGGGCGACGCGACATGCGAGTAGTGCGTCCATTACCCCCCCGCCCCCCCCCGGCCCACTGCACACAAACAAGCACACGCGGAGAAAGGGAAGAGGATCAGAGGAAGGCAGCGCTTTCTTAGCAAGGCATTCTTACACACACACACCAGCTTCCCAATGCAGCTGGTCTGGAAAGCAGCAGCAGCAAACGATCGTCTAACCCTGGCAGTCAATTACAAACTTGAACTACGTGAAAGATGCAGTACTTTGGGTAGTAATATCACCTTGGCTGAGATCTTGGTTCCTGAAAAATGTAGGTTATGGCGAGGCAGGAGGATTTTGCAAGGTCCTCGGGCCGGCCTCTGGCAGCTGGCCCCAGTGAGGGGAGCCCGCAAAGCTGCCAAGACTAGCTTTTGTGGTCTGGGGCGAAAGCTATTTCTTCATCTGTGACTTTGGTGGGCACTGGTGGACACTGTGTTGCTCACACTGAGGAGGGGAGATGTGCCAGCCTGTCACCCAATCATGTCATTTTATTTAGGTTCACCAAGGCCAAGGTAATCTGGGTGAACATCAGCAGAATGGAGTCTGCATCAGGCCCTTCCACTAGGATTGGGCCCTGGCAGAGAGGGGAAGTGGCCTTGGGGGGCATGTCACCATACAAAGGCTTGGTGCCAAGCATGGGTCTATGTCTTGTTTTAGTCACAGACAAAACCAAAAAGTTAACAAAAACCAAGTGTCCTTCCCAGTTCTCCCCCCCTCCCCACTTTGCATACTGCTGAGCTTTGGAAATCTGAAGAGAAATGAATGGTATATGAGACAATATGCAGTTAACAGTGCTGCTTTACATAGCAAACTTCTAGCAGGAGTCCCGGCATAGCTAACACCGGACGGAAGCTGCAGGCAGGGAGCACGTGGGGGAGCAGCCCCCAGCCTGGCCCCTGAGGACCCCAGCAGGACCCTTCTACAGGCACCCCTAGTTAGCAAAGCAACTGGATGGATGGTGCAGGAGGGCCCTGTCCAGGGGGGCAACTCTGCTTCTGAGGGGAAGGCTGTGATTTGACCGGATTCTTCTAGGTCAGAGCAGTTTTCTAGCAGTGCATGCCGTCTGAGTTCTTCTCATTCTAATGAACATAGAATAAAGGTGAAGAAGATCAAAGGAAGAAGTTCAGAAGCCTAAGGCATGCTCATCTGTGCACCACATTCCTACGCCAGTGCTTCTGAAGGCCTTTCAGGCTACTATCAGCCCCTGTCCTCTCCGAAGACTTTGAGCTAAAATCAGCAGATAAATGTGAAGTCCTCCTCATGACAAGTCTTTTTAAGTTTTCAATGCTCTCTTCGGCTATCTTGAAATTTCTTGGGGGCTGTGTGTCCACAAGTGTATGTGATGGGGAAGGATGGAGGGCATGCTTGTCAAACTCCTTAACACTAAATTTTGGTCAGGGACACAAAGAACAGAGCAACGTTTACTTAATTACACAGTTTGTTTAGGAAAATCTCATTTGTACTAAGGACTGCTTTGGCGACTGAAGAACACAGACCAAATACACCCTTGAAGACTTTGTTCCTAGAAATGGGATTCAACATACCCTGGGTTTTATGCTCCTGGAAGTCTGGGGACAGCAGCTGGATGTCACAGCTGGTTCCCCGGGAGAACTATCTCCCCACCCACTGTTCCTTTGAACAATGCAATCCTTTAACACCCTTCTGAAATAATAAACCCACCATGGATTGCCTACATCACAGGCTCCCCAGCCAGACCTTCGGATCTCCTAAGCATGTGGGCTTCTTGAAATTTGGGCCCCTGTACAAGCTGCGTCCTCACATCACCCCTTGTCCCTCACCCGGCCAGCAAGGGGATGTGGTGTGAACAAGGCAGCCACACCTTTCAAGAAGCTGTAGATCTAAATCACCTTTTCCCCATGTCAAAGGAAATGGACTATTAATTCAACTCATGACCTTGGCTTTCAAACTAATTAATCACAGAGGTCCAGCCTCAAAGACCATTAAGTCACGGTTTGCTAGGTCTGTGTCTTTAAATAAGTAAATAACTCAAAGGGCAATTCTCTAGGGTGGCCCAATGGGAGGAACCTCTTTTGAAGGATGATTCAAGTTACTGGAATTAAATAATTGCTTTGCCAAATTATTGTGGACATCTGCAAAACTCATAAACTTGCAAAGTGACTAAGAAATTTGCCAGTTTCTGACCATAGCTCATTCTTGTAGTAGGTAGGAAAAGGATTGTGCAACCATTTTGAGGAAGAGCTACAATATGGCGGGTTCACCACTTTACCAAAATTGCAGGTGAGGTTTGGAATGATGACTAAGCTTCTCCTTTTGCATCTGACGGGACACCTAACCTACCCTGAGCCTCCACCTGTGGGGTCCTGACTGGGTCAGGTGCTAACATTCCCTTGCACGGTGAGGTAAGTTTCATGCCAAGGGGATGCCCAGCTTCCTTAAGCACGGGCCTGTAAGCCAGGCAGTGAGCTGAGCCACAGGAGGGCCTAGGGCACAGGAGAGGCAGGCTCTGGGTCTGGTTCCAGGCTCCCAGGGATCTGTCCAGTCTTGGGGTCCCTTAGGCAGCCCCCAGAACAAAATACGCCTCCAAACAGGGTCTGAGGCCTGAGTGGCAACTGCTGCCCATCTTTTCTCTCTCTCCTTTTAAGGAGAGAGATCTGTGGAGGTTACTGTGTGAAATGGATGAGTCGAATGGAGATTCCAATCAAAACAAAACAAAAACCAGCCACCTACTGACTGAGAGAAGTAGCAGAAAGGAGCCACGGACAGGACTTGCCATTCAGAACATTCTCCAGCTCTTAGCCCACAGCACAAAGTCACCTCCCTGAGAAACCACCCCAGAGACCCACAGACAGACACAAACACACATGTGCCAATTCAGCAATGAAAACCACAGAGATAAGAGTCACTGAGCCATTATTCCAAATTCACTGTTTTACATGCAGAGGCCAAAGTGGACAAGACCTCCCATGGCCTGGTGCTGACCAAACCCACAGGCTGCGGCTGTCACACAGGCCAGATGCTGGCTTCCACACAAGGAAGTTACCTATTCTACATAAGAGCAAATGTTTGTAAATATCACGAATAGTGAAGCTGAGACTAGCGATATTTATGAGCTCTCTGGTTGCGTTGAACTATGTGTTGTGCTTTTTCTCCTGTGTGCTTCCAGTCACTCCCCCTGCCCTGCACCGTTGGGTAACCATTGGGGGGTTGGGGGCTGAGGAAGCTCCCCCCAGGGGCCAGGATGGGTTCTGAGTACCTCCTCCAAGAGCCCAGTGCCACCAGCAGTGATGGGTAGTGTGTGTGGCCCCCGCCATGTGCTCTCACCCGCTCCAGGGGGCCTCCTGCGCGTGAAGATGCCCTGGGGGCATTGCCTGCACACAGTGGCCAGGTAGGCTGCCCCAGGGGGCCACTGGTGAGAGCCTCTTCCAGAGTCCTGACCAGCCGGCCAGGCCTGAACTGCACTACCTATCTAGAAAAGGAGAGAGAAAACGGAAATACACTGAGAAGTCACATATTTCAACAGTATTAAAAATAACCACCTTGCATTTTAAACAATTTATTGCGTAAAATAATGTATGTATCTGAGTATATTTCATGCTACAGTGAAAAAAAAAAACCCTCTAAATTACTGAAGAAACTAAACTGCTCCGCGGGAGGACGGGCAGGATTGCGTGATACCAGGTACATAAAATGCACATGTCAGGGTCAAAGTTAATCAAATATGCAGCCTAAGACTAGCAAAGGAACTTAGCAAGTCAGAAACGCTGGGATTTAGTCTTTCCTATCTTCAATCCCAAAGTCTCCAGATGCTTCTGTGATGCACCACTATGTGAGCCAAACTCTTGCAACAGTAATGACCTCCTTGATTTAGGTAAGTTGGCATATGTTAGGCTATATCCCCAAACATCTTTTCTCACGTGATTATGGGGAACACTCCGGGTATTCCTTGGGCCTAATAATAATCCACAGGTGAGAAGACAACATACAGAACTTCACATAGAACAGTCCCCTCATATATAAACATTTAGATAGTGCAACTTTTAAAAAACACATCATCACGACACAAATTAACTCCTTGCATTCATCTAACTTCTTCACTTTATACCTTGGCACACAAAACAGGGATTTTGAATCATATTTTTAAAACAAAATAAAAGTTCCACACCTTGGGAGAAAAAGCAAACTGGCCGATACTTCCCCATGATAATATATAATAATGCATCCTTTTTTATCAATTCATTATAAAACGGCCATTCTGGCCTCTTTCTCTGCAAAGTCTCCTTTCATAATTAAATAAATCAAACACCTCTGTGGGTTTTATTTCATGATATCTTCCAAGCATCCCTTTCTCTGTGTTCCCAAGCCCGCCCTTGGTGAAAACCAGCACCCACCCCGTCCTGACGCCTGTCCCCAAATAAACACTGTTCGCGGTCAGACCGGATGGAAGTTTGTATTATTTCAGTCTAGTCTGCTTGCAATTCCCCTGAAAGGAATCAGAAACAAAGACCACGTTTGCACATTTGGTTTTACTTCGTTGTAGCACGTGAAACGGAACAACAGCGTGCCTGGGGGCGGAGGCAGTGCGGCCCTCCTCCCTCCTTGGTTTCTTCCTTCTCCTGCGCCGTCGCGGGGTCAGACTAGGTTCCCGGGCTTCCTGTCTTTGCCCTGGATGGGCAGCACTGTGCCCCCCGAGCTGTCCTGCTGAAACGGTAGTCTGCTCCCTCTGTGGGCGCCGCTGTGCTGGTGATGGAAGAAAGAGGCGCCCGGATAGTGGCCCATCACCTCGCTGTACGTCGGGGGCGGCCCCTCCATCCTCCCGTTACTGCTGCAGGTGCTGGCACTTATCCCCGAGTTGCTGCTCGGCGGACACGGGCCCCCACTGTACGCGGAAATGTCTATCAAATCGCTGTCGAATATGGTTCGGTTGGGCGGGGCCCTCACAGATTCTCGGTTGAGTTCCCTCTGCTGTTCAGGGTCCCTGAGCTGCAGGGCGCAGGGCCCCTGGTAAGGAGGCGGCTCCTCCCCGTCAGATAGAGAGATGGTGGGCGGAAGGTCGATCTCATGCTGCACGTAGGGGTAGGTGGGTTGGAAACGGCTGAACCGGTCCCTCTGGATAAAGGATGGGGCCGTAAACCTGTCCCTGGATCTCGGGGCATACATGATCTGCAAGGGAAGGAGGACAGGCTTGAAGACATCCGTGGCACAATGACCACGAACCTGAGGGTATCAAGGAAATTCATGCACGGTCTGTGTTCTCAGCAGTTTGAAGACTTTTCACGCAGTCCTCAAAACAGGAAACAACGGGAAACGACTATTTCGGGGTGGCGGGGGGAGGTAGTTTTCTTATTCCTTGTGATTTACACCACTCACTTTGCCAAACTACAGGTAATCTAGGATGTTTCAACAGTGGAGATTGTGGTTAACTGAAAATTTGGGTTTGATGGGAGTTACCGTGAACGCTATGTAAACATTTTCTGCTGGTTCCAGTGGAGTTCAGTAAACAGGAATGAAGCAGAAGAACGCTGTGGGGGTGGCACGGCAGTCCTGTCCACCAGGGGACAGCCCTGGGCCCCCACACCTTCACCTGGAGTGAAAGGACCCCACTACCTGCTCCCTCACCTATGGCTCAGAAGAATGGGGGCCCTCAGAGTTTTCATGTAAATCTAAGTATAATCACAACATCTATATGAGCATGTTGTTCTATCCATCACTTAAGAAAATACAGAACAAGTGAGTTCTTTTTCCTTCTAGTTTCTAGACTTTTCCGGTTGTTTCTTTCTGGATGAAAGTTTCCTGTAGTTACTTTTAGTAAATGACATGAAGAACATTTTGTACTCCAAAGTAAATACAATTACAGATTTGTTTTCCCAAAATGAATCCAAGTACTACTGTTCTTACATAATTCTGTCACCTATTCCACCAACCAGATTTCTTCTAGAGGAAAGAGATGTATACAGATAGAAAGATCTATATCTCCACTGACTTCTTTCACGCTGTAGTTTTAGCTGATAGGCAAATCTATTGTTATTTTAAAAATCATATTATGAAAGTTGGAGAGTTATAAACTTATGAAAGTTTATAAACTATGCCCACATCTACCAAGCCTCATTATTAGCAGCTTATGAAATCAGGTAATGATCAGTGATTCTCAACCTGATTTCTCTAAGGAGCTTCAGACTAGCACGAATCTTCTCTAGGACATTCTAGAGAAAAACTCCTCCTCACCTTTTTAACCAAAGTTACAACATATGCCTTGATCGAAATGTGTTATTTCTTAATCTGTGCTTTAGCCTTTCCATCAATGTTGTCGCAGTGGTTATTCCCCTCCTCCCCTCCCCTCACATGGGTGCAATAGCTACCTCCCACAGCCCACCCCCCACCCCTGCCCAACTCCTTACCTCTGAGGCCCCTGGCCGAGGCCCGGAGCTGTCTGAAGGCCACAGGCGCCCTTCCTGGCAGTGGGGGGACAAGAGACATCACAAGAAAAATTATTAGTCTCATGCAACAGCACCCAAAATCAAGGGATCACATTCCTCTTTGACAGCAGCAGACCTGTTTAAAACATAGAGTGACAAAGAACTGGTCCCTTTCACACCGAACACCTGAACAGAGAACTCTGATCACAAGGAAAAGCTGGAAGGTTTTGGTCTCAGCCATAATGGATTGAAAACAGATCTGAAATCAAGTATCTTCCAAACTATACACCTGTGTGTTTGCAATACATTCAAAATGTCCTCAAAAGTGGACACCCGGGTCACCACCCGGATCTGGGTCGGGTCTGGGTTAATCCAAGCTCTTATTTGGAGGCCTGCCCCTCACAATGGGCACTAGCTGCCATGGGCCGGGCGCCAGATAACGCCATTCTGGAATGCAACCAGCTTTGCCCTAAGCAGCAGCAGCAGCCGCAGCAGAAGGAAAGCACTACCCAGCCACACTGGTTGGCTTTCAGACCAAAAACTGAGTTTCCCAAAGCCCAAATGCCCTTCAAGTGTCTCGTAACGAATTTCTTCTTGAGTCCATGTACTCATAAGGCAGAGGTAACCGGACATCTTGTTGTTTAATATCTTTTTAAAAACTGTTTCACCAGACCAACGAGGTGATGTGCAAACAGTGTACGTGACTAAGGGTCATTTCTAGCACCATGAATTTGTTTACAAGGCATCTCAGTATGTCATCCCTTTTGAACCGCGATTGTTGGCTATTAGCAAGTGTCTGCTGGGCTATTTATTAGCTTAAGGCCTGTTACTGTGAGAAAGAGAGTAAGAAGAATCGAGTTGTTCTTGGTGGTGGTGGTGGTGGGAAGAGATGCTTGTATTTTTGGATTCCTAGGAATGTGCACACATGACCTTGTGCCATCACTCAGCCTCCTGAAAGCTAAGAACACCCATGAGATGACCTGCCAGGTAAAACACCCCTACGTCTTTGGATGCAAAGGCCAACCCTCTTTTGCTCTCTTTTGTAGGCCAGAATTCGAATACAAACACTACTTTTGCAGCTAAACAGTGTTTGTCCAGTACATACAGCCCGTTCCTAAAATACCCACAGGACATCATGGAATCAGGGGTAAAAATACGAACAGACCCAGCTGCATTTAGAGGAAGTTGGGGCTTAGGCTCTGACTATGAAATTACGTAATGAGCTGTTTTGGCGCCAGCATGGTGACAGGTGACAGAGAGTCCCAAGTAGAATCTAATAAAGCAGCTGACCCGCACCCATGGGCAGTCCTTCACCGGGCCTGGGCAGCTTGCCGGGAGCTTCCACAACTTCCTCTGGGTCAAAGGGAAACATTCAGTATGTTTCGAGGTCATATTGAAAACAGCATAAAAACGAATCCTTGGATACATCTATGACCTGTCATTCTGCCCCAGCAACCCTTTCTGTCTGTCAGATGAGCTTGGTTCCATTCCTGCCCCTGCACACACTGGCCACCTCCCTGACCCAGGGGACTGACACCAGGCGACAGCCGGAGCAGGTGGTTAGCCCAGAGTGAGTCGCCAAAGGGCCACAAATAACAGCACCATGCAAGGTGACCCAGAAGCAGGAGCATGCACATTTTCTGAAGAATGAAAATAACCATCCTCAATGGTTTTATTTCCCTAGAAATTAGCCAAACTGGGAAACTGCCTAGAAGAGACCACACTTTGTGGTCTGGATCCTCCCATTACCACTTCTACTTGGTGCTTTGGGACCCTCCTCTGGAGCCTTCTGGAGCCTTTCTCCTGCTGCCTTCAGGGCCACCCTCCCTTCCTGGTCTGTGCCTTTACGCACACTGCCCGAAGCTTGGGGGTGCCTCCAGCTCTGCATTTGGTTAACTGTGGGGAAGTCCACAGACCCTGTCGGGGGCATGTCTCCTCTCGCTGCAGGCTCCCTGGGCTACTCCCTCCCATCCCCCTCCTTACAGGGCCATCCTCATGGGGATGGGTCTACACCACAGCACCTCCTCCCGGGAGATCCAGGACCCAACTGTGGGGGCCTCCTGGATTCCAACGGAATCCCAGCGCTGACCTCTTTGCACTGGCACTCATCAGCTTCTCCTGAAACTTCACATTCCTCTGTGACTCCGGCTCATCTGCTCACCAGGCCCCCTCATCCCCGCTCTACCTCCCTCATTGCTATCATCAATGTTTATTTGTTTGTTTGTTTTTAAATATTTTATTTATTTATTTGTCAGAGAAAGAGAGAGAGCGAGCACAGGCAGAGGGAGAAGCAGGCTTCCCTCTGAGCAGGGAGCCCAATGCGGGGCTCCATCCCAGGACCCTGGGATCATGACCTGAGTGAAGGCAGACACCCAACTGGCTGAGCCACCCAGGCTCAGTCTCTCCATCATTAATATTTTAACAATGGCATGGCTTATTTAACGATTCACTAACAACTCCCTGCCCCCTGATTCATTCGTTTCTACAGGACACTTTTTTTTAGGCCTTTCACCCACACAGCACACAGGAGCCCATTAAAACAATGAAATCTACAAGATGCCACGGTGAGAATGGTTAGGGTCAACAGCCCAGAAAGCTGTCATTCTAGTTCTGTGCTGGTACACGGAGAACTGAGACCCAGAAGATGGCCAGAATTCTAGAAAGCTGGATCCCAGCTGATCTGCTGGTTAGGGACCTGCCTCACTCAGGTCCTCATGCCTTAACCTGCTTTGGCCACACGCCATGCTGCCCATCACCAGACTGTCCTCAGTAGCATCGATTCTCACACTGCTGGCAAAGCTTGATTATTCTGGCCCCCCAGATGAGGTGAAATCCTTAGACTATGATCTGAGCCCATGACCAGGGTCCTCCAAGGGGCCTGTACTACCTTTTCAGATAGCTGTGCCTAGCTGAACTCAGAGATGTGGGCCCTTTTGTCTAGACCCCTCTGTTTCCTCATCTCCAAACACCAGTGGTAACACTTTCAGGAAGAAGGGGCTCATCATACAGCCGGCATCTACTCAAATGGCATTATTTCTGGATCCTCATTATGGAACCAATTTTTATCTCAACAGTGAAGTCTCTACTGTTCCTGGCTAATGCTTGTATTATTACATGGTATTATACTTGGAATAAGCTGTGAAATAAGATAATACTTCAAATAGTTCATAGAGATTTGAGCAAAAGGAATAAAATTTTCCCAATATTATTATGCAGGCTTAAAATCTTTCACTTCCCTTACAGCTGTCCCTTGTTAGAACACCCACCAAAAGGAAGGGACGCATGCATTCATTACTTCATCATACAACTACTGACTACTTCCTGACAAGGGGTCTTGATCCCAACATATGAGATGATGTGCATAACCGAAAAGGCCCTGTGCCATACCTTCTCATGGGATGGGGGGTGGGGGTAAACAGGGGTGCTGCACGATCCCCAAAGTTAAGCCATCACTCTCCCACCTTGTTCCACTCAAGAAAGCATTCTGGAATGTGAGTTGGCGTGACATTACTCTAAGGATCACTTTGAATCAATTCTAGTTCATTTTTTTAAGGTCTGTTATTCTCAAGTTGCTCATGCTGTATCTATTACTAGACCCATTACTTGAGACACACATTAAAACTGAGCAGGACAACACGTGGGGGAATGTCACACCTCATCTAGGAAGCTTACAAGAAGGGCGTTCTCTTGGGTCCCTCTCCGTATGTGCCCTGCCTTGCATGTGTGTCTCTTACTCTCTAGTTTTCCGCCTGGACAAAGTCACTGTAACAAGAAAGGTAATGACTGATTATCTGATGACAACTGAATAATACCCGGATGGATGACACAGCTATTGACACAGAACTGTAAGGGCAAGTGAACTCTCAGTTGGGGAAAGCCCTCGGCCACCACTTTTCCATCTGTGACTTCGGCAAGCTTACTTCGTTTCTCCAAGCCTCAGTTTCCTTACTTGCAAAAGGAGCTTGTTCTGAGGCTCAAATATAGCAAGGTATGCAAATTCCTTAGTCCATGCCTTGCAGATAAATATTCAGTAAATGGTAGCTCTTACCATTATAGGTAATGGCTATTGGCTGTTTTACACAGCTAAAGTGGGGATAATTTTCAGTTATCACTTCTAAAATAATGAATTCATTGAAATTTCCTCATTTGTTTATTTATAAGACTATTCCAAGGGTGGCATTTTGTCTTTTTCAAAAAAATTGTTTTTGAGTATAACTGACACACAATGTTGCCACCACCCGTCACCAAAGGTGGCATTTTTTTTTTTTAAAGATTTTATTTATTTTACAGAGACAGCAAGAGAGGGAACACAAGCAGGGGTAGTGAGAGAGGGAGAAGCAGACTCCCTACCGAGCAGGGAGCCCAATGTGAGACTCGATCCCGGGACCCTGAGATCATGACCTGAACCAAAGGCAGATGCTTAACGACTGAGCCACCCAGGCGCCCCACAAAGGTGGCATTTTGGATAGAAACACTAGAAGCATCAGAAGGCTTAAGCAAAGTTGCATTTATCTCAGATTTCTCCAGAACCTTTCTCATAAGGTCAGGAGCTGATTCCTAAGAGGGGCATTACCCAGGAGACCCCTCACAGCAAGTTCTTCTCCACCGCTTCCCACCACTGGGTTTCAGCAGGAGCCCAGGTGCTGCACAGAAGGGCCCACCAGGGCATAATCTCTCTCCGTACTCTTCAGTCATTAGCTCAGCTGACATTAGTTCCTATGGGAACCACCATAGGTTCAGACACCGGCAGAGGCTGCTTATGCCAAGCATGGCTCCTTCTGATAGCCTCACGTCAAAGTAGGGAGACAGAAAACAGAAAGAGTAAGAACTTATCATGAGAGCTTATCTCTTAGATCTTCTTTTATTTGCTAAAATGAAATCTTTCCTGTGAATGAATACTTCGCCATTTGTCATTCTTCTGCTAATATAGTCACCGACCAGCGCTCACTCATGTTCAAGCACCTGGAGTCGGGTGACCTATTTCTTCTGAATCTGCAAGGCTGTGGGCAGAATCTGGTCTGCGGAAACATGCCAAG